AAATAAGCCAAGTCATTCTGGATTTTCACCAGAAGATGTGGATAGAATGATCAAAAGTGCTACTGAAAAAATTACGCAAAATTTTCAGTTACAGATTCAGGAATTACAAGCAAAAATTCCAAAAGTTCCATATCAAAAAAATATTGAGACAGAAATTCCTACTAAAACAATAACAGTCCTAGATCATTTTAAAAAACCAGTCCAAACAAATCTTACTGTTGAGGAATGGAATAAAATGTTTAATCCTGATCCAACTGAACAATTGCGTAAATCTCAATATATAAAGCCAAGCTCTGACACTAATAGAATAGCAAATAGAATTGCTGAAAGGCTTGAGCAAAAAAGACTTGATAAGGAAATTGAGGGTCTCATCTCTAAAATTAATAATTTTCGATTCAATGATCCTGATCCTGATTCTATGGATACTTCTAATTTGATTCGTGAAATTGCCACTGATGATGATGAATATACTCTCCAATTAGTTTGAAAAAAAAAGTAATGGAAAACAAACCTCCTACTAAGATTAAGGATGGAAAAAAAGAGTCAAAGAGTAAGGGGATATCAATTGATACCGCAAATTTGAGAAAAATTATTCATGAATTAATTATAGAAGAATTAACTCGTTTGGGATATATACAGAGCATAGAGACTTCAACTCATATTTCGAAATCTAGATCACAAGCTAATATATCAACTGATGATTCTATGGATATTGATCTTTTGTGCCTAGATAGTAAAAAAGATTTAACTGCGGTTGAAGGTGTAGTGGAAGGAAAATTGAAACTTCCAATTCTTGCAGATTCATGCGCCAATATTTCTATTATGCCCAAAGAAATTTATAAAGAACTTGGATTAGTACTTGATACAAGTAAGATTAACAATCTTTCAGGAGCATCAACTAATACCAAATCATTGGGTACAGTTAGAAATGTTAATATAAATTTAGCTCCAGGATGTACTATAACAGATAATTTTGCCGTGATTGCCAATTACCCATATCGTGAGCTAATCCTGAATCGAACTTGTCTTAGAGAATATAATTATGATTTGCTTGAATCTAGAAAGCATATGGCCATTACTTGTGATGGAAAAGATTTCTTTATCCCTATAACTCCAGCAAGAGATGAGCACAAAAAAACGAATTCACCAGTTTTGGAAGCATTAAATCATTAGTGTTATGCATTTCAAA